GAGTCCTGCTTTTTTGCGGTAGCTGAGCAAGGCTGCCTTCGGATGCTTCCCCAATGTCAAGAAAGACACCGAACATGTTAACTCAAATACTTAAGTAGTTCTCTAGAGATACCAAATTCCTACTGCCGCTGTAGGACGTTGATTGCTCAAACCATGACATCGTGCATCTTACTTGCAGCCCTTGCAAGCAGCAGGCTAAGAACTTCCCCATGAGCTACAATGCCATCAGATTCAGCACAGCACTGAAATAATCAAACTCCAGCGCTCTAAGCCACCTAACTGAGCTATGCATCGACAGCTCCAAAACATTTTGCAACCCTTGCACGGATTGCGTTCAGAAGCCGGAAGCTCCCAACTCCTTCAAGGCCTTGAACCCTGCAGCCTTGAGCGACAACACCTTGGGTGCAATGTCGCGATGCCGAGGATCCACGATGTTCTTCTCCTCGATGAACCAAGCCTGGGCGAAGCATCCGAGAACGGAGGAGCAAGGACAAGGAGTCCGGGAGGGTTCATCGAGGCACACAGTAAGGGGTTTCTTTAGGGTTTGTATGGGGCTTGGGGTTTATATGGGGCTTGGGGTTCCGAGGTTTGTGTTGGTGTGTACATACACAATAGCAATATAGGGCTCTGTCTACACATAGATAAATAGGAAGCTAGATAGACAGATAGATGGACGGTTGGGCCGTGAAATTTCGTTGTGTAGATTACAGGCATTCTTGTTAACGACAAGTAGCCAGCAAGTAGCTGCAGGCAATGGCAATCAACAGCCCGGAGTTGTCGCGGCTAAAGTGGAAGTGGCCCAAGTTGCTTTTGCAAGCCTCTCCGCTTTCGTTCTCGTAGTGGAACGTGAGCGCACACTCGTTGCGGCTCCAATAGATGTCCGGCACCACATAGGTGAAGACTGGCTTCCATGCCTTGACCTCTTTCTTCAAGATGGCCATGTCGGCATTGGGGTTCTCGAAGTCGCTCCAAAACTCCAATATGTACTTAAGGTCAAGAGGGTCGTGGGGCGTGTCGTCGGCGGACTTGCTGTTGAGGCGGATGCTCGGGGCAACCCTGGGGGCGCGCTTCGTCTTCTTCTCCTCAACAACCTCCTTCGGCTTATTCTTGGATCCCTTCGGTCGACCGCCCTTTGACTTCTTGGTGTGCGCCACATCGTCATCACCCTCGGCCGGCTTCGAGGACAAAGACTTGGCTGCGGCTTTCACTTTGGCTCTCGGTGCGGACTTGGCTTTCGGAGATGACTTGGCTTTCGCTTTCGCTCTCGGTCCGGATTTGGCTTTCGGCGAGGCTTTGGCCTTCGGCTTGCGCTTGGCCTTGCCAGCGTCGTGGGCGTCCTGCTCCCACTCGCCCTCTTCCTTCTCCTCGGCCTCGTTCTCCTGCTCGTCGAGGTCGTGGCCGCTTGCCGAGAAGCTGCGGGACTTGCGCATCTTCTTGAGACGAGCAAGGCGGCTCTTGGAGGCCTTGCGTTTAAGCTTCTTGCCTCCCCGCATCCCAGAAAACCCATCCGGATCGGCAGCCTCCTTGTCGGCGCTCTTCTTGTCCTTGTTCTGGGCCTTGATCCTCGATCTGAGTCCAAGCTGCTGTCGTCTGCCGAACACCTGTTCGGTGTAGATGATGGGGAACTATCTAAAGACCACAGGAATTAAAATGAATGTAGCGGGATTTTCGGGGATGTTGACATTTGCAGATATTTGTCTATGTATCATACGAGCATGACCAATAATGATCTTTATAACACAGTAGGATGGAAAACAGAACCAACGGTATGGGCGAGAGCAGCCTCCGAGGGAGCAGCCTCTTCGCACTTGTCTGCGTCCTCCTGCATCGGCTCTGCTTGCTGCTCTTCCTCGTGGTCGTGTGTCGGCAGCGCACTCTCGGGCTCTTCTTGTTCAGGGGGCGGTTCTTGAAGAAGTGCTCGGGGCTTAGCTGGACTCGGTTTCGGCTCGCCCGGATGCTGATACATCCAGCGTTTTGTGTCCACGGATGCAGTGCTCAGCGTTCTCGAGGGTTTGTTGAAGTCTGGGGTCAAGGGAGTCAGAGGCACGCGCATGATGTCGTACAACTGTGTGTCTGCATCATCCGGCTGCAGGAGGCTTGGCTTCGGTGGTGGCGTCTCCAACTCCTCCTGGCTTGCGGCGCGGGCATCCTGATGGCCTCCGAACAGAGGCTTGGCTTTTGAGGCATTATAATGTCGAATTAACATATGATTCAACTCACTTCGGTGATGGAGTAATTTATGAATATATAACTCCGAATGCAAAGGGAACACTGCCTGCAGGGGCTCTGGAGTCTGCCAGCCGTTCCATCTTCGCACGCTTCTCGCGAATCCTCACAACAATCGAGAGAGAGAGAGAGAGAGAGAGAGAGAGAGAGAGAGAGAGAGCGAGCGAGCGAGCGAGCGAGCGAGCGAGCGAGCAAGGGAGGGAGGCAGGCAGGGAGGGAGGGAGAGGGGGAGAGGAAGAGGGGGAAGAGGGGGAGAGGGGGAGCGGGAGAGAGTGAAGAGAGTAGTTCATGCCGTAAACTGAATTACAAAAGATAGAATGAGACAGAAAGCGAAAGAGAGAGAGAGAGAGAGAGAGAGAGAGAGAGGCAGACAGGTGAGACAGATGATTTTGGCTCTTTAGCACACACACCAACACAGACAAAGACATGAATACCACGTAATGAGCTGTGCAATCGAAAATCCTTGCCAGCTCATCCTGCAGCATCTTCAGCTGCAGCTTTCTTGGGCCGCCTTGATCGATTAAGCATGCAGTCGTGACAACGTCTACCGATTGGGTTCAGATACTATCTCACTTCCTAGACCAACACAATGAGAAAAGTTGCTATAGATTTGGATCGACAGGTTACTCGAGTGCGAGGAAGACTCAGACTGGGTGGGCGATGGCAGCTCGCAGAGAGAACCAGATGAGGTGACACGAGCTGGTGGGCACACAGCAACTTCGGGAACACTAGTCCTGGGAGCTGCTTCCGGAACACGTGTTGGCTGAGACGGGGGAGCTGCTTCCGGAACACGAGTTGGCTGAGACGGGGGAGCTGCTTCCGGAACACGAGTTGGCTGAGACGGGGGAGCTGCTTCCGGAACACGAGTTGGCTGAGACGGGGGAGCTGCTTTCGGAACACGTGTTGCCTCAGACGGGGGAGCTGCTTCCGGAACACGTGTTGGCTCAGACGGGGGAGCTGCTTTCGGAACACGTGTTGGCTGAGACGGGGGAGCTGCTTCAGGAACACGTGTTGGCTCAGACGGGGGAGCTGCTTCCGGAACACGTCTGGGCTCGGGCAAGGCAGCCTCCGCAACAGGACTTGGCTCGGCGGGAGCTGCCAGACATTCGGGCTCGGGTATGGGAGCTTCAGCAACAGCTGGCTCTGGCAGGTCTGCTGCAAGCACCAGTTCCGGCGGCTGGCTGTCGTCAAGAATGGCCTGCAGCATATGTTGGGCTGAATGCGAAACATATGTCGATCCACAAACATTGGAAAGCCCTCAAAGCCCTCGTCAGTCTGTATCATCGGGAAAAGTAGAAAGATAAACGATAACTACGAGAAAGAAGAGTTAATACAAACGATACATATATGTGTGGATACATATGTTTATAAATGGGCGTATATATATATATGTATATATATATACACACACACGCACTAGACTTCATCAAACCCTATATACATGTATGTGTGTATACATATATATATATACATATATTATATACAAGGGTAGGCATAGATAGAGAGGGAGAGGGAGGGATGGCAAGGTCACTACAGTTCTTGTTACGTGTAGCGCCTCAATCTGAGGGTCTGCCTCAGGGTCAAGGGGAGGAGCTGCACGTGCTCGGATTCCTTGCACCAAATCCTGCAAGAAAGTTGAACGATACGAGGTTTGGGCTCGATACATATTGAGGCAAAGGCGATTGTGAATGTGCACGAAAGTGTGCAGGATGCTAGCAGTCCTCAAGCTGAGGGTTCAAAATGAGGCACATATCTTGGAAATCTGGCTCCTGTAGGGATCAAACATTGAAAAAAGCTACGATTGAAGGTGTTTGGGGTCTGTCGATACAACTTTACTATATACAGGTTAATTGATACCCAGCGGCTAGAGAAACCAGATGTTTCTGGGTCTTGCGCTTCACATGACCCACGAGGTGCCGAAGAGCCCAAGCTTCATCGTCGACTTCGCTCTCCGGAGGTTCTTTGCCGAACAATTGGTAAACCTTTTGCAGAACGATTCGTAGGGGATCGATATCTGGGATCTTGAGGTTGCACGAAGTCATTCGAACCAGCATTGGGGTAAGGAGCTCAAGGTTCTGGATAGCCAGGCGGTTGCTTGAATCGTAACTACCATCCTCGTTCGAAATCACGAGTCGGCCACCTTCCTCACGCAATCTCCCACGAACGTTCTCCAAGGTCTCCCATTCGGAATCTAGGCCTTCCACCGAAAAGCGCTCAGCCATGCTCGCGAAAGCTAAGCAAAATCTACAGCCCCAGCAAAGCCCACACAGCTGAAGGATATACGACGCAAAGTCAATCGCAAACAATTGAGTTTCGGCAGGTGCCTTGGGCTCCGGCGTCGCCATCCCTTCGATCAGGATCAGGGCGCGACGAAAAAAGAGAGCCACGCTCTGCGACAGATCGGTCTCGAATCAGCAGAAACCTTTCCGAATCCTTTAAATTTATCTTCCGAAACCCCAGACAATGTCTCCGAAGCCCCTTAAAGCTTTCCGAATCCTCAAGTTTACCTACCGAAACCACACACAAGTAGAGATGAACCTGAATATGCGAACATAAATATAGGTTCTCAAGAAGAACCAGGTTCTTAATAAAGGAACGCGGTTCTCTGATAACTTCCTCTGAAAACCAGGTTTAGTTCTAGCGCCCTACTTTATATTGGGTTCCGGCTGCTGTAGGTAGTCTCCGTCTACACAAAGACATCGCGAGAAAACTCATTCAACGCACGCAGCATCTGAGGAGGCCTCGCATTCGAGGCTCTACTGCCGGCGAGTCGCAGGGCGTCGACAGTCTTCTGCATGCCATAGTGGCTGTCCTATTTAGTTATGAGCATCAGTCACACCCAAGGAAACAACAACTCTACGAATTTCGTTACCTGAGGATCAGTCAGTCACGTGTATCGACTGACGGACTGCATGGCTGACTGGCTGGCTGCCGGCTGCAGGCGCATGTCTCGGCTCTGCCTTCATTCTGTCAGCTTGGATGGCCACATGCGTGCGCGCATCATAAAATGTGCATGCATGGATGTGCTTCAGCATATTTGGCTGCCTGTGGGGCAGTTGCAAGGTCTTCAGGATGGGGATTTCTGAAGGCTCCGAACAATACAGGCCTACTAGTGAGGTATTATGGGTTGCTTCTTCTCCGCCGGTCTCATACTCCCAGATGCAAGCAAAAGAAGAACATGTTGGAGGAACCGGGCTACCCAGGACTACTTTCGAACAGCTCAGTACTCTTACAACACACTCGCACCTCGTGCGACTCGCGAGAATGCGCAGCACACGCAACTTCGGTACACGGAAGCCGTCCTGGAGCACACTCGCCAAGCGACCGAGACCGGGCAAGAACACAGGCCCATTTCCGGAAAAGGAGAGCAGCTTGGATGGGTGGCTCTCCATGGAGTTCAGAACCTGGCATACTCTTTCGGCACATCGTAGTTGCCGCCAGTCTTGCACAATGTGGGTAGCGGCAGATTGGTAGATGTTGCACAACGCATGCGAAGCTGAAACTTAGATGTAGGTTCTGCGAAGAAGGCAAGACACGGAACTGCTTCACCCTGACTGCACACACTACACCCTCAAACATGAAACTCGCAGTTGGCGAGCCCGAATGAAGCCCCAGGTTAATACTCCCCAGCGTATGTATAACCCGGCCTCCCTCAACCCTGACCCTAAGGGTCCATGTACTCATATAGTATATACATTGGCCTTCATGTAGTCCCTATATAGGTACTTAGAGGCTCATGTATCTCTATATTGGGGGTTTCCGAAAACAGGGGACCCTAATATAGTACCCTAAATAGTAGGATCCTTCTTATAAGGACCCCTATATTAAGGTACATGGACCCTTAGGGTAAGAGAAAATCCATGCCCCGGGAAGGCCGGCTCGCAAAGGAGCAGCAAAGCCATGATCATGGCCGCCGGGCCCCCGCCCACCACGAGGAGCTCCGTCCGACGGGGCACCGGGCTACTGGTAGCCTCCCAGAGGCACTTTCGATTTAACTTTCTTAGGTGTGGCTGTCAGTCTTGAGCTTCTCAGATGTCTTCGGGGAAACCCTGCTTCATTCGAAGGTGCTGTGACTGCCAAACCTGGGCTTTTACAGCCTTCCGGTGGAATGCGATGCTCCGTTGACAATTGCGGGGTAGTCTGCATGCGACGGCACCTCCACGACGGAAGCCAGATTTTGGGCTCCAAAGATCTGTGCAAACTCTGCACCTGACTCGTGGCTGTCGGGTGCAGAAGCTCTTCTCACAGTGGTCGAATATGTAGGTTCAGGGCTCGAGGCATCATTTGGCAGAGCACGAAAGTAAATCACGGTGTTTAGGATGCCGCGCTGATGCCGAAGGCTTCTGAATCTATGGCACTCCATTTCTTGACTGCCGCTTGAATTCGCAGGCTCAGATCCGCAAATTAAAGACACTTTTAGTGATCCTAGCTGGGCTCGGCACGACAGCATCGCTCGAAGGTGACATGCGGTGGGAGCCAGCAAGCTTCCATGCCCCTGGCAGCACAGCGTCACAACAGGCCCTTTATTTTCGTCTCATGGGTATATATGTGTGTATGCAGCCCGTCGCTTGTGTGCTGTGCGGGGCACGATGCTCACGAACTTTCTGCCTTGGGCCGTACGTTTCGCTGCAGCAGTGGTAGTCCCGGCGCTCGTAGAACACTTCATTGTCCTGGAAGCAAGCCCCCACGCCATGAACATCGGCAAACTGTGCGTAACAAATCCTGAAGCCCGAGCAACAGCGAAACAAAAAAGTTGGACACTGCGCAGCTCGATCCTGGAACCTCTTGAAGTGCGGACTATGCCAGCATGCCTGGGCATCATGACGCCTAGAACCTGTGGGGTAGCTGTATAGTATACATCTACGAATAGAGATCATGAAATCACACAGGGTTCCCTACAATGGTTTGAGGAGTATATACCCTTATTGGAGAGGTGTTGGCTTCTCTGAAAAGCACGCGCAGAGCTGAAAGAAAGCAGGGCCCTTGCCAGATTAGCTTCTGGACCTCGAGCCATGGCTGGGAGTGAGCCATACGACTGGAGGGCGGTTTAGGGTGTAGGGTATCTGGAGCGTGGGACGGATATTCTTATCCTGTCTTTTGTCCTTTGATTTCTGTTTCTGAAGACCGTGCTTAGCAGGGTTGTTGTCATCTCCTGACAATCAAGACTTGGGTCAGCAGTCACCGAGGGACTTTTTCCGTCCAACACTACTGCATGCAACAAAAATAAATATCATGGAGCAGCATTAATGTATCCTTTCTGATAGGTGGTTCAAGCATTAGTGCAAGTTGCTCTGGGTAGGTCCAATTTAAAGCCATTCTCCCGCTTCTACATGCCATGGCTCGTGGCGAGCCAAAAAGAAGCTTCACGAGAGATTTCTCATCCATAGAGGAAGTATGAACAACCGAAGAACGGTCTTTCTTGTCATGCGTGTATGCCAGATGTCGTTTCTCACGCGTTCCGATGCCCGGTGACTGTAATCCTGACCCAAGTTTGCCGGAGAAATGTTCGTCAGTGCAACGAGGAGTAAGACAATTCAACAACACAATTCTCGCACATCGACTACTGCACTCCCAAAACCCATTAGGCGGACCTGTCAAGTCAGACTGTGCTGGAAGTGTTCAACCCAGCTCCCGGTTGCTCGTCCTGTTATGAGCTCCTTACTTTTTGCCTTGCACCCATTTGCACACAAATTTGGCATCGGAGCACCAACAATCAACAATCTGCATAGGGAATCCTGAGAGAAAGCACGAAGTCATTAGCCAACAGCATTCGTGCTGTTTTTTTTTCTGCTGTCGTGCCAGTATATCGCCTCTTGCACCAAAACCCAGGACCCGTGCGTTGCTCCCACAGCAGGGAGAGGGCACTGACCGAAGTAGCTGCACGAAGCTGAGAGGCTGCTGAAGCTTCATTGATCAGTGCATGGTCTGTATTGCAGATAGTTGACAGCCTGTTCGCTCGACTTGTGCGGCAAAAGCAATTCATACCTCAGACACCTTCCTGAAAGTCATGCACGTGGTGGTGAAAATGCTCTGTTGCGTCAGTCTTCCTGGAACGAGGGACCTTCTTCCCTTCCAAGCATCCCATCCCCGCAAGAGCGCTGCTATATTCAACAGCTGAGGTCGTAGAAGCTTCAGCAGATTGTGCAATTTTGGGAACGTCTAGGCTTCTCAGAGCTCCTCACCCTTCTTCCTCAGCTGCATGGCAAAGTTACGGAATCCACGTGCACTTACTTGCCGGTTCATTTCGACTGCGGTACGTTTGCATATGAGATTAATATACTACACGAACCAGTAGAAATGACACGTGTCTGTCATAAATAAAGACATGTGCATACACATCACAGGCTAGATGAGTCCATTCACACGTCATGAACGAAGATCGTGGTATGCGTTCTGCACCCCTATCTTCAACAGATTGAGCTGCATAACGATGTCAGCTTCTGTTCAATGGAAACTGCAGGAGCAAGCGAGATTTAGAATGCGCCGCCGTCTCGCCCTTGGAACGATGGAGTCTAGCACTTGCTTCTATGAAACGGACCCGTAGAGCCTCGGCCCTCTTCATGCTACATAACCTTTTTCAGAAGCAAGTGCTTGAATCCCGGTCAGCCCCCGATCCTAAAGGCTAAGAAGTAATTTTAGAGCCCATTCTCCTTCGCTCAACTAATACAGCTGGCTTCCAACAACTTGAAAAATACACTTTTGAGCACGAGGCTTGGCTCGGAGGATCTGCTTCAGCATCTTGAGGGTAAATGTCCTTGGAACACACGCAGGCTGACGGCCCTCCGACCGATGTTCACGGGATCTTCCCCAGAAGCTCCGATACTGCTTGACTCATACAGAAGCAAGGTCCAATGCACGGGCATTTTCCTGATTCAAGATGCAAAGGAACAACATATTGAACACTTCGGCTTCCGAATCAAGCGTCCCGTGCGAGCTGAGTGTGTGATAGAAGCGCTTCCCGGCTCGGGCTTCAACTGTGGCATACTCCATGCTTGGGCTTCTCTGCCCCCTTCCGTTCTTCTCAGCAACTGTCCGTCATGACAACACACTGACTTAGTTCCGAGCGGCTACAGCTTATCTTGTTCTTTGCCCCATCAGGTTGTTCTGATGACTCGTTCTTGCATGTGGTGGTGCTTCTGCAGGTCCCACCAGTTTCTAAGGCGCATATACTTTCACAGGCCTCTCGCAGGAGTGACTCCTCATTTGGACAACAATCAAACGATAAATTTTTCCTACATGTGGCCCTCATGCGACCAGCACTTCCAGTACTCTCTGGACCGGTACGAAACAACTACTATAGAAATGACGTGCACGACAGGGCCGGCAACACCACAAAAAGACTCACAACAACCTGACAAGACTTGTTGCTTCATTTCGGAAAGTACTTTCAATCTCGAAGATGCTACTGCGTGCGTCTGCCTCATGTCTGCCCGAAACAAAACATGCATGGTGCATCGGGCGGATGCCGCAGCATTCGCAGTATCCTTGTGCCCGAGACCAGCACTTCCAGGCCTCAAGTTCCAAAATCCCCAGCAGAGCAGCCCTGTAGATTTCAGCAGGCTTGGGGTCCCCACACCTTCTCGCGGGCGTCGGCTTTCAAAGTGCCTCTGGGCGGTAAGGCCAAGAGGACGAGAAGCATGCCTTGTAAAGGCGCAGATGTGATGGTGCCAGGCCATCATGGCCAATTGCACTCGCCCTGGATCCCAGAAAAGGCTGCCCCCAAAGCCTTTTGCACCACGATCTTTTTCACCCTAGACCAATGTTGATGCTTTGCCGGTTACGTGTCCCAGCAGCCCATGATTACAGCAATCAAGGCAGGCAGCATGCATATTTTTTTGATGGGATACATCTGTTAATAATCAATATGCCAATATGTTCATATACATGATTGCTCAGAGCCCGAGAGCCTGGGCAAAGTGTAGCTGATCCGCAAACTGCACAGCGCGGTGCGCGTATGTACATGATAGCGAGGTGGTATGAATAAGGCATAAGAGAGGGTTTAGGGTCTAGGGTTTAGGGTTCATAAGAGTGTAATCCTCTGCCGTCGAGGATGAGACGAGTTGCTCAGGATGAAACAGTTGTCATGCAGCAGTACAGCAATCTCTTGCTTTGGTGAGGCTACGGCTGACATAAAAACAGTGCTTTTTGCCAGATACAACAACGACTCGACAGAAAAGGCTACATTAGTAACACTCAAAAAAACGCCAGGGGCTCCTAATATGGTGCTTGCACAATGCTCCTTCCCAGCACACGAAAACCAACCAAGCCTTCTGACTGCTTCGTGAGCTTGGCAACCTGTGGATGAAAGCTTTTGGGTTCGGAGCTTACAATTGGGGCTAACAGTTCCACAACTCTGCTACAGATCGGACGACGACGGAGTGACTATCTCCGA